TTCTAGGGATCCAATTCTTATCGAGTCTGACTCATAATGATCATTTCTCTTTAGCAAAGAATGATCTTGGTCATCAAAGGACGGAACAATTACTTATGATACCTAATTGGCATCGATAGCAAGAATCTAATGAATTATGAGTTTAATGGATTCTCTTTAGCAGTTATTGTCCTCGTCATTTTCTAGGCTTTTAGTGAATCCAAGATTCACATTGAGTATAGGACAACCATACTATAAAGAGGGGCACAAGTTGTCGGCGTCCTGGGACCGGGGGTGCCCAGACTTGCCTGCCTGCGGCCCATGACGTGGCTCCATCGACGGTCTGGTACAGCCCAGCTTCAGGATCAACAACCCAAGACCCTCGCGAGGGGCCAAGCCTCGCGAGGCAGACGACACAAAGACCTCCTCGAGGGGCAGTCTTCCCAAGCTGGCTCCCAAGGAGTGGAGATATCTATGCAAGATGCACCTCGTGAGGTTCAGATGACGTGAGCCGTGACGACCAAGACCAAGCGGGCGCCCGCGGGCGCAGTGTACCAGTTTCCTCATTGGTGCTAAGAAGGCAAGCGCAGGCACGGAGTCCCGAGGAATCAAGCAAAGGTTTCCATTTCGGTGCAACAAGACCAAGACCGCCAGGACGGCAGAGCGGAGGTCATCGTCGAGCCAACCACGGCGTCACGACCAGGAGCTTTTGGCAGGCAAAGACTACTTTTGTCAAGATAGCATGTACTAGTTGTCTTCCTTCAAATTTGGCCTTTGTGGGATCCCTTCCCGCCTTACATTTGGAAAGAGGATCAAGGCCACTATAAATAGGACTTAGCCACCACCATAGAAGGAGGGATCATTCAGATCATCCTCTCACCCACCAGCTCATCGAGCACAAGAACACTACTCCTCCTGAGGCTGTTCTCCACTGTACTAGTTCATCGGTTCATCCTCAGTCCCTCGAGACCAATCCACCACAAAGCAGGAGTAGGGTTTTACACCGCAAAGTGGCCCGAACCTGGATAAACTGCTATGTCTTTTGTTCATCCAGTTCGTCGAGCTAGGCTGTGGGATTAGCGAGCAGACAAACTAGGGAGGACGAGTTCTTCGCACGCACCCCAGAGTTCGAACATCTCAAGGGTCTACGGAACCCTGAATCCGACATTTGGCGCGCCGGGTAGGGGAACGTCGGACCCTCTCTTCCGTCGATCGACCCGCCACCGCTCCACCGCTTCCATGGCTGACGCCCATCGAGCCCGTGCTGAGCGTCGGGCCGCCCTCGCCGCTCGCGTCGCCCAGACGGCGCCTGCCGGCGGGCCTCCCCGTCGTTCTCCACCGCCTGCCGCCAACGCATCCACCGGCCCAGCAGGGCACGAGCAGCAAGCTTCGTAGCTGCACCCCTCCGTGCGGCGTGATGGGCGCACGGCCACCTCGTCGCTGACTCCGGTTGGTTCGTCATCTCATGCTCGTCGCGCACCGGCGGACGCGCAAGCTGCATTGCTCATGGCGCGCGAGCTCCTACGCTACCACCCGTCGACAACTTCTACGAAGAGTGGCTGGACCGCATCACCAAGCTAGTCAGCGCCACTGGGGACTCTCCTGCACCGTCTCTCTCGCTGCCTCGCCCGCCGCCTGCTACGGACGTCGTAGCCCATGGAGCACCTCCTCCACCTCCCCGTCAAGACGTCGCCCTTGGACCACGGCGCGCGGCCCCACGGCATGACCCACCGCGCAAGGCGCCTGCGCGTGAAGAAGAAAGCTGCCAGGAGGTCCAGCGGCCGCAAGAGGATGCTCCTGCACTCCCAGCACCACCACGTCAAGACCGCACGCCGCCTGATCAGCCTCCACCTCTACGACGGGCTCCCTTGACTACCGCGGACTGCCGTGCCTTCACTCCGGAGCTTCGCAGCATCGTCTAGCCGAGGAAGTTCAAGCCTGACCTACCTCCACGCTACGACGGCACCCCCGACCCTGCTGAGTTCCTTCTGAGCATCGAGGCGGCCAACGGCGATGAGAAGGTCATGGCGAACCGGTTTCCCATGGCCCTCAAAGATGGCGCGCGCTCGTGGCTTCTGAACCTGCCAATGGGATTGATCTCTTCCTGGGGCGAGATGCGCGAGCGTTTCGTCACCAACTTCAGGGCACTCGCGACCATCCGCCAGCTGCGGGTGACCTGCGGCGCATCAAGCAGCAGTCAGGGAAGACCCTGCAGAAATACATCCAACGCTTCAACAGTGTTCGCCTCAAGATCCCCAAGGTTTCGAACGAGGCCATAATCTCAGCGTTCTCTGATGGCGCCCGCGACATCAAGATGAAGGAAGAGCTCGCCATACACGAGGACCTTTGCACGGCTCTGGAGATGTTCAACATGGCAACTAGGTGCGCGAGAGCTAAGGAGGGTCGCCTCTCCCTCCTGGAGCTCCCGAGGACAGACCCAAAAGATAAGAAGGCCAAGGCCAAGAACATGAAGCGCAAAGGCCGGCCATGCTTGCGGCTGAGCCGGAGATGAAGCACGGCTGCGACCACCTAGAGTCATCCAAGGGCAGCCGCCCGTTCTGCGTCTTCCACAACATGCACAGCCATAACACCAACGATTGTCAGGAGCTCAGGGCCATCCGTGACGAATGCCTCGGTCGTCGCCCCGAGCGCAGCGACCGAGGCTACGGCCGCGGAGGAGGCGGAGGAGGAGGACGCTGGGACGACCGCGGCCCCTGCCAGGAGTGGTGCGATCAGCCTCATGATGAGCGCTGGCAAGCCCAGCCTCGCGAGGGCGTCTGGAGAGACCAGCCTCGTGAGAATCGTCCTTAGGGCAACGCTGGCCTCCCCCCGCTGCCACCACCACCAAGAAGGAACAACGATCACCACCAGAACGAGGGGGCTGGGGGCTTCCAGGAGCCTCGCGCCATCGCCTGCATCCTGGGCGGTGCTCAGGCCCCAGCCTCTCATCGCATCTTCAAGCAGTTTGCCCGCGAAGTGAATGCGGCCCTCTCCAGGCTTGAGGCCACGCGACCGCTCAGGTGGTCCAAGTGCACCATCACCTTCAGCTCGACCGGCCAGCTCAAGTCGCGGCAACTGCTGGTGCCCTCCCGGTGCTCTGCTCGCCCGTCATCAGCAACATCCTCATCACCAAGACTCTCATCGATGGTGGTGCGGGGCTCAACGTTCTTTCTTTCTACTTGGACCCTGACATATAGAGCTAACTCACATCTTATAGTTACTTCATTATGGCCCAACATGAGTACATGGAAATACAAGATGATGATAACGGTATTTCAATATTGTTATTGTGGCAGAGAATCTAAGACCGGACAAGATGACCTGTATGCACAAAGACACTCTGAGAAAGAAAAAAACAGTGAAATTATCCTGGACCACCCAGGTATAAATATCTACCATCAGTTCCATTCTAGTTGAATTTCAACGGGGCTAAAGAACATAGCCTAAGTAGAAACACAAACAGTGATAAGGCAAGACCAGATACCAGTTATGCATAATTATTTATCTTCATCCCAACTCAGACATGTCGGTCCAGGTGTCACACAACTGCAGCTATAAAAGAAAATAGAAAACTGCCTGTTCGCTAGGCACGAGGTTGAGCTCAAGGCAGCCAGGAAGAAAACGCCAACTTTAGCAACTACGCTATACAGTTGTTTTCATAGGACAGCTCTTGCCAGTTATATATGTTCAGCAAACAATAAAAGGTTTCTAAAGAGATTGTTCATAAGGAACATAGGGACCTGTAAAACAAAATCATTTTTTCTGACAGGGGTCTAAAGATTCAGATAAGGTTTTCCAGCAAAAAAAGGAACATCGCAAAATCAATAGACTATCATATAAGGTAGTCCAGATGAACAGATGTCACAACTAGAAGAATAGAACTAAGGAGTCTTCAACAACGTACCCGGCAATTAGTAAAAATGAAGAAATCACTTGACTACATAGGTGTGCTTAAACAGATAATGGTTTCCATAGTGGACGCCAACACAGCAGAACAAGACATGGGATGTTACTGTCAGCTTCCATTTGGTTTGTGGCCAAAGACGAACTACAATTCCCATTCCATTGGCAGTGTTGTTGATTTTTTGGTAATACCCAATTAATAGCAACCAATTTGATCACCAAGGTTTGGTAATACCAGTTGTTATCAAGCTTTGGTTTTCACAGAAATAAAAAAATGAAAACTGGTGTAAGTGAGTTACTAAGGAAGCCTTCATTGCGCAAGTTAGGCCAAAGAAAAGCCTTACCACAATTTTGGCACCAAGCAAAATGGCAGCAAAATCTTGTCAAAGTTTAGTAAGACAAACTTTGGTTCTCGTGCATTAAACCAAACAGGCCCATGTCACCACTAAACACAAGGAAAGAACCCAGTTTGGTTACCAAATTGGTGAGCGAAAGTGCCCTACTGATGTATCTATCATCGAGCTGGTTGCAGGTCTATTCAAATTGCTCGTTCTCAATATGTCGGCTAGCATTGCCCGTGCACTCACAGCACATGAAAACAAACTACAGGATAAAAATATAGTCATACAAGTAACTGAATGTTTAACAAATAGAAGTTAAAAAAAATAGCAAAAAAAACAACTTTTTTATCAAGATTGAGCGCGTGGTAGGCCAAATGTGTTTCTAGGCTGAAGATCAGTGGCGGATCCAGGAATTGAAGTTAGCCGGGGCAAATATTTATGGTCCAAAAAGTTTTAGTTACAAATGCAAGTCTATTAACCAAAACTTGTGGGCATTAAACAACTAAAACATCGGAATGCTCACGTGATCATATGCATGTGGTTTCTGCGACGGACAGATCGACAAGCCAATTCTAAACCATGGATGGTCATCGGCAAGCTAGTTATCAAATCAGTGAAATTCCAGTGCAAAAAGTACAAACGTTCAATCACTACTTAACATATACACCTTCAAACTAAAAGTACTTGTCAGCTTTGAGATCAAATCTGCATCATCAAATTGGAAATTTGAAACTAATCAGAGTCTCCAATGACATTTAAGATCATTATAACTTGTACACCACAACGAAGGTTGCAACTGGTGGACAAAAACCGTGTAGTGCCTGGATCCTAAAAGATCCATCATAAATTCAAATTCTACATCACATCAAAGGTTAGTGAACCTGGTTTCGCAAATAATACAGACCTCTACCAGAAGGTAGACACCAGTGCTGGTTGTTTTCCATGAAGCCGGTTTTTCTTTTCGGCTATTATGAGATCTCGTTTCGTTACTTGCCCATGGTTTCCCCTAAGTGACATAAAAAAAAGTCTGACATAAACGATTTTTCAGCGTATACAAGGACGCTCCAAGACCCTTATTCTGAAGGGGCTCGGCAAAAATCCATCAGTAACCTCCGTTGGCCATAAACTCGCGTGCCACGCAAAATAGTCTAGATCTATGTCACACAGCAAATCAAGGAAATAAAAAGCGAGAGTTGGTATGTGAAAGGCGCACCTGCTAACAGCGTCCTCGAGAGAATGGAAAGGCGTCTTGATGTCCGGGTTGCAGACCCGCATGGCGTCCTGAAGCGCCATCTCCACCTCGGGGCTCCGGACCCTAGCCTGCGCCGCTTGCTGCGGGGACGGCTGGGGGTGCGGCTGCCCCTGCGAGTGCGGCTGGGGTGGGGTTTGGAGCTGCGACGGCGCCGGCTGCTGGAAGCGGTGCGGTCCGAGGGGGCGGAGGTGGGCGTCGATGTTGGACGGGAAGCGGGACATGGCCTGCTGCGACAGCTGCTGCGCCTGCGGGTGGGGCTGGGCCTGCGCCTGAGCCTGAGCCTGAGCCTGCTGCATGAGAAAGAGCTGGCGCTGGAGCTGCTGGTGCTGGGCCGCCGCGGCTACGGCGGCCACCGACGAGGTGGTGGAGGTAGTCTGGGTGGCGTTCGCGGCGTCCTCCATGGCGATGGCGAAAGAACGGGAGTAGCTCCGGGGGTGAGATTTGGGGGAAACGATGTGTCTCTTGCTCGTTGGGGAACGAGAAAGAGCTTGACACGCGACGGTACTGAGTTTTTTTTTCTTTTTATTTTTTTTTAAAAAACTTTTCACTTCAAATTTTTTTTAGACAACCTCGCAAAGTTTTTAGTTAGCTATTTTTTAAAGCTTTTAGCTAACTCGTCGTAATGTTTACATGAACGAAAGTAAGATCACCTAGATTTTTGGCTAGCCAAATATAACCGCTAATCTCAAGTGAGAGAATATACTTTGCTAAAATTGTGAGCCTCGATATTCGACCTCCTATACTCATGACTAAATAAACAAGAAGTAGAAAAGATTAGAATAATCTTTGATTTCTCGAATAATCGCGCTATAAACTGTCGCACTCTTCTGCTTGATATCATCAATGACAATCTTGCAATCTGAGGCAATATAAATTCTTCACTCATAGAAATCATCTATCAAGGACACCGCTTCTAGAACTGCTAGGGCTTTAAGCGTGGTGATCAAAAATTCCCACAAAAATGATCGTCGAGGCTCCAATATACCCTGGATGTTCCTACACATGACGGCAACAACTCCTACCACGACGTTTCTAGATAGAGCGGCATCAACGTTGATTTTGCTCATATTCTCTAGTGGTGCAATCAAACGGTTTGGTCTAATTGGGGCATTCGAGTCTGTCTCAGCTCATGGTTTGTCCAATGCCTGCAAGTAAGATATGCAGAAATTAACAAAAGGATTGTTCGCATAGGGCGTCTGATATGTCTCGTCGTGTAACACATTTCTCCTCAAGCTCCAGATTGCCCATAGGGTGACTTCCAACTGAGTGAATCGAGGTTACTAAGCTCCCAGGATTTACTGCCTTGTGGTTAATCGAGGTTTCAAGCGGCGCCCGTGGCCCCACCCGTAAGGGGATGGATCTTGGTTTTGAGTCGGTTTGACCACACACATATGTTCCATGCCCTCTTCAACCTATCCGTTGCGCTTCCCTGAATGCCGGCCGATCCCCTTTGTGTGTCGGCCGCTGCGAGTGCCCCTGATCCCTCCGTGCATCATAGCCCTGCATCTGCCTTCCGCCATGTCGCCTCCTCCTCTACGACGCCACATAGAGCCCCCAGCTCCCCCTCCACCTTTTCGCTCCTCCCCACCCCCTTTCCTTTGCGTCATTGTGCCGGTCATTGAGCCCCGCCTCTGTGGGTCGACGGTGTGGGTGTGGGAGATCCGTTCCGTGCGGCGCTTGTTTGCCTCAGCTCGGTGTCGGGGAAGGATTCTTCCTTAATCTCCGCACCGCCACTAACCCACGATCACGCACCTGACCCATCTCTCTCTCTCCACGGCGAGGTAATGGCCGACAACGGCGACGCGAGGGGCCTGAGCAGGCAGCGCGGGGACTTTCCACGGCACTCACCATGCACCACACTACCAACGAGGACGCGATGCCGCAGTGTGCTGGACAGGGACGTCTGCTCCCTCCAGTGCTCGTCTACCTTTGTGTTCCTCTTCACTTTGGTTGGTGCTCCTTGTTGTTGTTTGTGCTTAATTCCTAGGGGCAATTGAACTGAACTGGACTGGGTATGTATGCATGGCACAACTATAGAAATGTCAAGGGCGTTTAGGCGTGTACAAGCTGTCTAATCAGTGCCATAAGTGATGACAAACTAATTAGTAAGCTAGGTGATTACTAAAAAGTGTTTGGTTCACAGCTAGATTTCATATGTAGCCATTGTAGATTGTATCTTGAGTATTGTATTTAGGTATTGCAAATCATTCAGCATGTGATGTGGTTTTAATACATGGGAATCGTGCAGGAGTTCAGTTGGTGATGTTTAAGACAGCGGGAAGGATAACATGTTCACTAACCATGTAAGTCCGTGTTATTTTGAAAGCAACTTATTTCCGCGCACTGCTGGTTGTCATGATGCTACGGTTGCACATCTGGTATTAGTATTATCAGGCACTTAGTGTTATACCGACCTGATGAAAATGAGATAATTGACTCCTGCTTTTTTTGTGAAAATATTACGAGTTATCCAGAATTCCATTGACCCTCGCTTCAGATATTTGTAGATCATAATGTTACTCCGACATGCATATGTTCGCGGGAGTCCGATTTGGCTATATTTTTGGACAAAACAATTAGCAGTCGGATTTCGCTACTGATTCAGTGTGTCCAGTTCAGCCTTATAGGCATGGTTTTCGAGTCATATGGGTTATCACTGCATAATTTTCAGTAATTTTGTTGCCACCGGCGTGTGTGTAAATTTGAAGCCTGAGGTGGGTGTGTGTGTGGGGGGGGGGGGTCTATTTTGTAAACTTTTCTTAATGCAACGACACATCTATCCTGTGTATTCAAGAATAATAATCTTGAGCCCAATTCCCTTATCTGTTTCTACAACTAGATGACCCGGTGCGCCAAATGGCGCAGAGACCCAATTGAAACCATGTTCGTGTTGAGAAATATTTGCCTTTTTTAGTAACTTTATGTTTGATCAAGCATAGAGACCATGTCAAACCCGAAGTGTTTTGAACGTGTATTTGGACAATGTGCCATTTGGCTCTATGTTACCCAAGTAAGATGCAAGGTCCAAATTCAAGCATCAAGGGTAATGATTCTAAACCTTTTGTAACAGAAACCTTTGCATTTGTTAGTAACTTCGAGTTTTAGCAAGCACTGATGGTAATAATTCTAAACCTTATATATGGAAAATTAAGGAATACCTATGTTCAAACTATATACTTTAGCATGTGAAACTAATTCAAACTATACAAGTTGAAATATTTAGAGACCGGTCATAAAATTGCCGGCTCCACTCTACTGCGACGCGAGAGCCGGCTTGCTGCACCTTCCCCACATAATTGGCCAGAAGGTATTTTAAAAATTTGAATTGTCTACATTAGTATTTCTTAGACATCATATAGGAGATGAGAGAACAGTAAAAAAATTTAACTATGTACCTTAGCTATCTAAGACTAATGAAAACTGCAATCTTGAAAGAGGAAAACAACATTGGAAATCCTAATGTTCCTGGTCCTGAATAGTGTATTCGTCTAAATATGTAGTTGATCACCCGGTGCAAAGTAAGAAACTTCTCATGATATAACGCTGGGAACCTAAAAGCAAGTGTATGATTTTGCAGCTTAGAATGTGTGAACTCACAACTCAGACAAACAACTCAGACAACTCAGCTTAGAATGTACACGCCTAAACGCTGGGAAGAACCTAAAAGTAAAAAACATTCCAAGGGAAAATGTGTGAACTCACAACTCAGACAAACTACTAACAGGGCCATGTATGATTTTGCAGCTTAGAATCTACATAAAACAGAACAGTGCAGGTAACCTCTACCTAAATCTCACTACTAACTTTATTCGAACATTTATTCTTAGATCATCGGTACTCCTTTTATGTACAAATCATGCAATATCTCTATAAATCAATGCCAATGCACGCACATGCACAAGTCTGAACTAAACAATATATATGATATAGCATAATTATATGATCTAGAATAGATGCATGATCAGGGGAGGAAGATGGTGAAGCCAAAGATGACTGCTAAAGTTTCGCTACTCCTTGATCATCTTGCCCAAAACTAAGGTTATTACTGCAGGAACATTCAACCCTCATTATATGTTCTCCTGATTGCATAATTGTTATCTTCACAAATTCTTCAATTGCAGGATATAGCTTCACCAGATCTTCGACAAGAAAATCATGCAACTCCACCGCAAATTCAACCCCAGTAGGTCCACCACCGATAATCACAAAGTGAAGGATCTTCCTTCTCTCCTCTTCACTGAGGTTAGGAGGTGACGCCTTTTCAAAGCAGTCTATCACGCTCTTCCGAATCTTTCGGGCATCCTCCACGACCTGGCATTTACAATGTGAGGCTGTAAGCACAAGATATGACTAATACTGTACGGTACAATAACCTAAAGTATCAATACCATATATCTCAAGATTTTGCAGGAAATTAAACTGTAACTTACATCTTAGGATTGAAACATGAGAAATAGCAGAACAGTAAAGAGACACACAATGCCAATAAGGATTTGACCTTCAGAAAGTGGCAATGCCCCATCACACCAGGAGTGTTGAATGTATTCACAGTAACTCCAAGAGCAACAACCAAGTAATCATAATCACCATGAAATCACCATTCCCGTCCAAATTAGTCCCAACAGCAGAGCGGCAGTGGACGGCTTTCGTCGGATCGATCTTGAAGTAAATATTCACATGTTTGATTGGAGTATAACCTGGAAACAAAATCAATCTCGAAAGATTACAGAGAGTGAGGAGGCCGCATGAAGAGATAGAGAGAGAGAGAGATAGAGTGTTTGCTGAAGCTCACCTCGGTGTGTTGGCATCGGATATGTGGCGTTCAATGCGGACTCCTTAGCCAAACACTAAGTTATTTAAACAGGTCTGAGATTATTCTGAGATGGCATCGGATATGTGAAGCACTCAATCTCTATAGCCAAACACTATGCATGCTGAAATAACTAAGTTTTGTTTTCAACAGAATTCTGAGATTATTCCATTCTCAAGCAAGTACACATATGTGAAACACCTTTTCAGTGAAGAAGCATAGTGGAAGGCACCATCCAGCCATGAATATAAATAAAATGAAAGGACAACCAATGAAAATATCTACAACAAAAGCATTCCACTAAGATGGATCATTAGTAAATTACCAGTATCATGTATCCCTTGGCCTCCTCTGCGAGCGCCTGCTAAAGCAGAGTAGAGCAAGTGCCAGGTAGCTTACTTTTTCAAACAAGACACACAAGCAAGAGTGAAGCTGCACGAGAAGATACCTTAGAGAAGCCATCAGAGTAACCAGACGGCGAGCTGAATAAGTGTGTGACCTACTGGTGGCCGCCATCTGGGTCGGGCCCCTCCTCCCACGGCAGCAAATCCTCGCGGCACCACTGTCACATGCTAGGCCTGAAGCGCGACG